GGGGGGGGGGGGTGCGGAAGGATAACTCACTGGCACTGGAACATCTAGTCACTCTTGTGGGGATTATCGGTTTAGGGAGAACATCTTCAGATATGACAACCAGACCATTTATTGCTTTATAGAAGAACACAAGATCCATGTACTCATGCCAGTACGATAACGGCATCAGTTCTAAAGTGATCAACCTATCACGGTAAGACTCACTACACATAAAGGGAAGATTCAGTATGAACTTGGAAGCTCTTCTCTGGATACGTTCTGTTCGTTTAAACTTATACCCACCTGACGATAAAGGACCATATTTTTGCATTAACGTTGACTAACATACAGGGTGTCTCAAAAAAAAGTATACCCTTTGAAATCAAGCCTTTGTTGGAATTTGAATGCCATATTACTATGCTAAACCCACGGGTGCGTAAACACAATTGAATCGAATTTTGTGCATAGACTTTGAGTTAATATGTTCTCTGGGCGTATAATTTAACACAATAAAAACTGTTTGCTTTGTGGTCAGCACAACCATTTTTGCTCGAGCTGAAGATGTGACTGATTAGTACGTAATTTGAATTTTGACCATTTTTGTGTAGTTACTCCTTAATAATATTAGAAGCTACTTTAAATTCCCAGGAGACAAATTTGTACTTAACAAGAATATAGTTATTTATTAAGGTCTCGTTTTTCAACACACCCTGTGTATTGGGTTGTAGTAAAGTTGTAGACAATAATCTCTGCGATCGCCTTTTGAACGATGTTTTTTACGTTTTGTTCGAGCATGCGCATAGGAGCTAATATGGCGTGCGAAGGAAAACAGTGTTTTACCTAAATCTATTATTTGGTAATTTTCTATATTTTGATAATTAAAGTGAGTTGAAACCTGTTTTTCGCCTCATTTACTGGCAATCCCAGTACAGTAAAACACTAACGTTCGCTGTGGCATTCCAGAATTGTGAAGAAGCCTAAATACAAAGGAGTTTTGCAGCCCAAAACTTGTGTATTGCTTGAAGACAAATCCAGGAATCAGCCATGAATGTTGAAGATAAAAAACAAGAAAGAAGCAAGGCTAAAATGGCGGTCGCTGTCGCTGCGAGGCGTCTGATTGGAGCCTACAACAGAGATTGTGAATATGATATTTTAAAGGATTCAATGTTCGAACTTGAAAAGGTATTTGATGATTTTTGCGTTATAAATGAGGAATACGAACTCATTGTATCTGACGAAAAATACGCAATGTAAAAAGGTGCTATGAAGAAGCTAGGAGTGTATTTGTTAGTGTAAAGACAACAATCGAACAAAAAGCTAGACAACAAAGTGCTGGGCCTGTCAAAGTTGCCCTAAAGAATGACATTTGTAGAATTCATGAACTAATCACTGTCGTTGATGAGAGTTTTAAACTGGAAAATGTGAATATGGCAGCTTTACAACTAGATAAGAATGATCTACAGTCAATTTTGAACATAATATGTGATAACATGGCAAAACTTGGCTCGATTGAAACACAAGAGCAAGTTAACCTAATCCAAGAAGAAGTCGATGCTATTATCAGAGCAGTTTACAATTGCATCAGAAAGATAAACTTGTTTTTGCATGAGCAACAAGCATTTGTTAAATCATTACACATTGAAACTGCCACTCTCCCCTCTGAAACCAACACCCCCCCTGAGAACATCAACACCGTATTCCCCCCGGAGATCAACACCAACATCCCCCCTGAGGACACTGAGACCATCAACACCATGTCTCCCCCCGGAAATCAACACCAACACCCCCCTGAGAACACTGAGACCATCAACACCATGTCTCCCCCAGGAAATCAACACCAACACCCCCCTGAGAACACTGAGACCATCAACACCATGTCTCCCCCCGGAAATCAACACCAACACACCCCTGAGAACACTGAGACCATCAACACCATGTCTCCCCCCGGAAATCAACACCAACACCCCCCTGAGACCATCAACACCAACACCCCCCCGGATATCAACACCAACACCCCCCCTGAGGACACGGATACCATTAACACCATGTCCCCCCCAGAAACCAACACCCCCCCTGAGACCATCAGCACCACTTCCCCCTCGGTAATCAACACCAATATCCCCCTGAGCCCATTTACACTGCAACCCACCCTGAAATTATTGACACCCCTGCTATCGAGACCAACACAATTCCACCTATGTTGCCAATTAACGCTCCCCCCATTAATTACTCCAGTCCCTTTGGCACCCAAGTTACCACCAACATTACAAAGGCCAACACCCCCCTACCAACCTTACCTGGGACCAGTACGGGTTTTTGCTTGAATACATCAGCTCAAACCTTCATTCCCTCTACCACCTTTCATTCGGATGAAAGACCTATCGGAACCCTCCCGAGCGCTGATTCCGAATTAAACATCCTTACTCCCAACAGCTTGTTACTGGGCAGAGCAACGGCGAAGAATCCTGGTGGATGGCAGCCTAACGGTAATAATCCAGGAAAGCGTTATCATGTTGTCCAGATCGTGACAGACGAGTTCTGGAAGAAATGGACGGAGTTATACGCCCCAGCCTTGGTTATTCGTCGCAAGTGGAATACAGCCAACCGTAACCTGCGCCCAGAAGATGTTGTAATAATCGCCGACCGTAATACCTTGCGAGGAGATTACCGTTTAGGTATAGTACAAGAAGTGTTTCTCAGTCAAGACGGAAAAGTTCGTCGAGTAAATGTCATGTACAAGAATTTTCAAGTTGGAGAAAAGGTACAGAAATACAAAGGACATAACGAGGCTGTTATTGTGTCACGAAGTTCTCAGCGATTATCGTTATTAGTACCAGTGGATATGGATCAAGACCAGGAAACCAAGTCGGAAGCAAAAGAGAGTGTATGAATGGACAGTGACATTATATAGTATTGAGTGAACAATGCATTAGAGAAATTTACATTCAGATTTTAAGACGCGATCGCATCGACCCCAGTCCTTCCGGTGTATTGGGTTGTAGTAAAGTTGTAGACAATCTCTGCGATCGCCTTTTGAACGATGTTTTTTACGTTTTGTTCGAGCATGCGCATAGGAGCTAATATGGCGTGCGAAGGAAAACAGTGTTTTACCTAAATCTATTATTTGGTAATTTTCTATATTTTGATAATTAAAGTGAGTTGAAACCTGTTTTTCGCCTCATTTACTGGCAATCCCAGTACAGTGTCACTGCTTTATAAATAAAATTACTGACTGAAAAAACTAATGATATATATAGGTATGCAAGGTCATCTAAACTAAATTTGGTCAATCATATATCATTCATGTTTGGTTGAAAAGATCAGACTTTTTTATGCAATTGTTTCTGAGATATTGCCATTTTGGTGAAAGCTTGGAATTCAATCATGAATTCGCCATATTGCTTGCCACTTTAGGGGGTGGTAACATTGTAACAGCTTGCCAGTTAATGAGTTTTAATAGAGTTTTACCGTATTAAAAATGACTTGTGTAATTTGTTTAAAACTTCAATTCATTATTCCTTTATTAGCAAGAGTGTGTTTTCTATAATTTGTTTTATTACTTGAAGAGTTTCTTGTGTTGTAATTATGAATTTCTCTATTAGAATTACTCAATGTTAGGCAAACTTTTTTATTTGTCCCCTGTAGTGTTGGGGTAAAATCTAGTGGTTATTTACCAATGTGTATTTCTGAGGGCAATCAACAGTTATCAAATCCTGCTTAAATTACACTTATTTCATGTTTTACGACAATTTTGGCAATGTGTCAATGATAACCAAATGACTTTTTTGTGATTAGGTAATAGTTGAAGATAGGAATGCAAATTGTAGATTAACTTGCAGCACTGAATACTAAGTAAGCAAGTCATTGAAATGTCAGTTATATGATCTTAGAACATGAAAAACATCAAAACGTCAAGTTTCTGCTTATTTTTTAAGGTAGTAATATAACCAATCAGCACATCATTTTCATGTTGGTACTACTAACACTGGTACAGACAGTTTTAGAAAGTCCAGTACCATCTTATTAAAACTGGAAACATATTGTAACCTAGTATGGGAACTTAGTTTCCACTGTTTTACACTGTCATCTAGTAAAAATAAGAACCCAGCTGCTCATGAATATATTTTCACATATATATTGGCACAATCAGGTTTTGCAGGAATGCCTCACAAGTGAAAGGAAGTCTTGTTTACAAGGGTCCCTTTTGCAGGCAGGCACACTTTGTATTTTGCTCACAGGCACAAAAAGTATTGATGACGCCTGTTGGTAGGTACACATCCTGAAATTCACAGACATTCCCAAAATATTATATCCTAGCTATTGTATGACCTGCCTCATATACCCAGACATCAAAGAAATAGGCTTTTGCATACCTTCTACACCTAACTTGTGATTGTGCGGTTACTGTATCAAATACAAAG